AAATCTGCAAAAAAGTTTTGCTCTACATAACTAAAAAGCCAGTTTAGGGCGAGTTTTCCGTCGATTTCGTGCTAATGGCTGCTACCCTTGATTTGACCGCATGTACGTACTCATATATCCATGCAGCACTGCGGCCGCTTCATATTGTAATTCGCAAATGAAGCTCTACGAGCATCATCATCGGTCGGACCTTTGTGGGCGGACGGCCACGGTGCGCGTCCGGGTCGGTATGTTGCAGCTTCATAAGGCCTTATAAGGGTACCTCCTCTGGGAAAAGGCGCCACACAGCGGCTGGGGGCGTGAAATTCTGTTTTGCTAGGCACGTTGATCCTACACGTCTTAAGAATTTATCGTGTCAATTGCCTTTAAGTAGTATAAACTAACTCGAACTCCACTCAATAATGACGTAGCAGAAAATTCGAATTTCTCAGTATACGGATTTCTGCGACGGGGTGGAGGGGGGCATTATGCACTTTCGGTGCATCCCAGAGTCGTGTCAAGCCATCAAGTAGAGATTTGTGAAATTCGTGTGAATAAGCCATGAAGTGATAGTACTCACAATTCATAGAAACTAATTGTCAACTCTTCTAAATCAATAAAGACGAAGCCGCGAAAGTGCAAAATGCTCCCCCCTCCAAACTGTACCCAAATGGTACTATGACTCATTGTCTGTACAAGGTGGTGCCTACGCTGCAGAGTGCACGCTACCAAGCATAACGTCACAGAAAACTGCCTGATACAAGTTACTGCTCGATGTAAAATTACTGATTTACACGAAGAAGGAGATTTACATCAATTTTGAAATTTCGTTCAACTTGTCGCACGACTCTGCTAAACCTAATACCGCAAAATTGTTGGTGATGATTAAACCGCTTTACTTCCAGTCGATACCATGGTACTTTTCCTGTTAGTAGTCCGCACAGGACAGACAGGTAGGACGTCCTGCCGGAAGTAGTGGCCCATACGCCTCTTCGCCTTATGGCTGTTGAGCTACTTGCCCTACTACTGCGATTGTTGTTGCGCGGCTGGAGCGCTACATGGCTCACCATGGCCCGCTGAAACCTTCTGTTTAGAAAGCAGATAACTTTATCAGAGATCAGTATTGTGCATAATGATAGAACGGATAAGTGATCGCCTAGGGGGATGTACCTAGAGTACAGTCATCGTCGCTAAAGTCAGTCAGGGCGTGTCAGTGGGCACGACTTTTGGCGCAGTGTCAGCCTGTTCGCATCGATCTTGCGGCTTCATGCGTTCATGAGTAGCATAAAAAGGGGCTGGCGGCTACACATATTCGGTAGTGAAACTTGCGTGGCGGTGTCGGCCCAAAAATAACGTAATATTTTTTGCGAGCGACACGAATTCGAAAAAAGAGACTATTCTTCCCAAAAACCACAACATTTTCGTTAAAGGCATACAGCACGATAGTTTAGTTCTCGGT